TGGAGGTTCTTGCATGACACCAAAGGCAGCGGCAGAGTGCTTCCCAGAAATTCTCATATATCTGCAGAGATCCTATAGATCTGCTTTTGATCCCTACAGATGGCTCTCAGTCTACCTGCCTTCAGTGTCCAGCCGCTGGCGCAACTCGTTCACTGAGAAAGCATTTTTGAATGAATCTCCGGCAACGTGATTGACCATTTTCCAGACATGGCCCAGGTCAAACAGAGCGTCCAAGTCTCTTGTCTTGTCTAGCTCTGCAAGAGTTGACAGCACGCTCTCGATGAAGGCTTCGACTGGCAAACTGTGTCACTGACTTGAGATGTAGCATTATGTAGCATTCCAAAATAACCCCTGTAACATCCTGTAACCAACAGTAACTGAATGTATACGTCATTTCTGTGTGACAAGGTGATACATAAACGTGCCACTTCCATTTGCAGCTTTTTGGAGCTTCCTATCAGCTCGGCCCAGCGCCCTTTCGCCCGCGCCTGCCGCGCCTCGCCATTTCTTGCGCCTCTCCTCCAAGTTCTGAGCGCTAGAACTCAGCATCCAGCTATGAAGGCGAAGAGTAGTGCCAAGGGCAGCCTGGTTTTGCAGATCAGCTGAGTTTTTTGTTGTTTTTTGGTTTCCTAAATAGGGTAAAGGAGGAATCTGGTTTCCTATTTGGAGCCTTTTTTTCTCCAGGCTCCTGGGAGCCGCGAATCCAAGGCAGCATGTTCCAACGTCAGAGCACCTTCCAACCGCAGGAGTCCGACATTTTAAGTGCGATCGATGAACGCTTCGAAGAGCTCGAGGAAACCATAATTTTGGCATCCTTGGTGCCGCAGCTACCTGGTGTTGGTGTTTTTTTTTGCGATAATATGCTTTATTTGTTTGAACTACCTGGTTTTCTTGGGTGGCCTGAGAGAATCCACTGGCATGGGGAAGATGGTTTGTTTTAGGTGTGTTTTACTGGTGATTCTTGTCCCGGTTCCTGAGAACCAAGCAAGTTCAAGGCTACATGAACGTATCCATGTGCTTGAAGAGAAGCTCAAGATTCACTCGAGCCCACTCAATGAGGCCGGCGGATCCAAATGGAAGGCTCTGAAGAACCAGATGACGGACCCGCCGATTGGTCCCAAGTGGGGTCCCGAAGATGTCTCCCCTCAACGCATCGTGCCACCGGATGATGAAGTCAATGGTGAAGAGCTGGAGAACAACACCAATGTGAAAGTGGGTGTCTTGGTTTTGCGGATCAGGTGACTTTAAACATTTCCCTAAATTGGTAAATCCCCTGGCATGGGGCGGAATATGTGTGTGTTTTTTTCTTTCCGGGCTGCAAATCCAAGGTGTGGATCGTAATGTCAGTGACCTGACCGCTATGTCCCTGAAGGGACAGCGCCGGGATGTGAAGAAGATCACGGAAATCTCACGATCCAAGGTGAAGGAAATGGATGAGAAGACCTTGGATACTCAGACCACTGAGTATTACACCTTTGGTGAATCCACTTGGGACTTGGTCATCTTCATCGGTACCGGTGCCTTGGGGCCCTTTGGCTCCTTTCAAACGGTCCTCTTGGCCATCGTGAATGTGCTGATGCAGGTGGTCTTCGTGGCCATTGCGTATTACAACTTCACCACGCCGGACATCAATGACAGCTCCATTGTTGACACTCTCAGGTGTGGGTTGAAGGGTTGTACGCGACGCCACACACGCGCGCGTTATGAGGTGTGCTTGTGCGCGCGTTTGTGAGGTGCTGCAGCTTTTTGTGTGTGTGATGGGTGGGTTGTGTTTTGCGTTTTGCGCATGCATGCGTATTTGGCGTCGTTGCTTGGGGTGACACATGTGGGATGACACAAGCGGGATCATGCTGGAAAAGGCAAACAGATTTGAGAGCTAGCACACATATAGTATAGTGGAAGATTCTGGAAGGAATCGTTGGCTCACACATGGAGCCTGAAGTCTATCAATCAAATCTCAGATGACAGTCACTAACATCGAATACGTTTTTTTTCATTTTGCCTCATCCTGTGAGTGGCCTCGTTGCTCAATCTTTCTCAAGAGGCACATGCCCTCTTGCCGCGCCCCTCAGTGCTCCCCCCCAACCTCTCTCGGACGTGTCGACACCCCACCAGTCGTTGGGCACCAACCGACCCGTCTCGACCGGCGCGTGCGACTCCGTGCGGGACGGGTACCCGCGCTTCACCGTCCGAATTCGGGAGATGGGAGGGAGCTCCGGGTGAATCGGGTTGGAGAAGATCATGGCAAGGCCACCCTGAACCACCCGGAAAAGCACCGACTCACCCAGCACCAGGGCGTGGTGGGTGGACACCACACCGCGGTTCGGCAGCGGGTGCTTTGTTCCAACAAACAGATAAAACGCCGTCTGAAGAAGGCGACTCGAGCTATCTGTCAGGTGGAGGAGATCCTCCGGGCATTCTTTTGGTGACTACAGCACGGAGGCCAAGGAGTCGTTGGTGCATCGAGTGTGCAAGGAAGACAAGTCCTTGGCATCCTCCGGGCTGCAAGTTGGTTTACTTCAGACGTCTGGAAGCAAAAGAGCGAGGTCGATGTCGCCGTTTTCTTCTTGAAGGGTATGGGGTGCCTTTTTTGGTTTGGTGGTTTTGAAGGGGAGGATCCTTAAACATCCTTAAACCACGAGCCGCTTGGCATTCTTGAAAAATATAGGGCAGGTGTCCAGGACAGAAGCCATTTTGTTTTGCAACTGAAGTTGTTTTCACCTTCAGTCCTAAAAGGACTGTCCAGCCCTTTCGTTTCAATTCAGTGGGTCTTAGCCAGTCAAAACAGGATCTTCAATAGCCCACGAGATCGGCTGACGTTGCAACCCGTTGGCCAGCGTGAAACATGACTCCCCCGTGACTTCAGAAGTTGGCGTAAAGCGGAGCGCAAGCGGAGCGTAAGCCACAAGCCGTTGATTGAATGTGTTGGAATAGACTGAACCAGCGATTTCAGATCGGCACAGACCCCAAAGTGTCCTTAGATCGGGGTCCATATAAACCACCAAACTTGGGGGCCCTTGTGCCATCTACTCTGAAACCACTGTAGAAGGATCTCATAGGATCTCACTAGATCCCATTGATTGTTCCATCATAGCTCTTCAGCTCTTTGTGTACCCCGACTTGGCCAGTGGTCGGCTTCAAACCGGAGCCGTTTCTTTTTGTTGGACCACGATGCGACACGGTGACCGTGGTGGACGGATCGGCCTGTTTGAACACATCCGGATCTCGTGTCCATGATTCTTAGACATACCAGATAGATCCAGATATGCGATATACTGCTGAGACTATGTATGGAGCTTTCCAGCCAGCGTCTTCGGTGAGTTTGTCAAGTTATCTTGGCATACATGACCACAGGATATGTTCACCTTTAAGCCGTGCATAATGAGTATAGCTTTCGAGCCGCCCATGACTCAGGAACATCAACAAGTACCTGAAATTGGAAGCTGAGGGATTGGAAGGTTTCTTCACGGGACAGATTCTGTGCATTGTGGCGCTGATTTGTTGGTATTTGATGGTGGCCAAGGAGGCCAGCAGAGTGGAAAATAGCTTTCTTGATTTCAAGAAGCAATGCAGGTGCAACCAGATAATTCGTCATCGTAAGTTCTTGGTCGTTCCAAGTACTTCGGCCAGAAACACAGCTCTTCTAGGGCTTCTCGGGCATGACGTTTCGATAGAGAGTGCCCGTTGCGGTTCGTTATCATGTTTTATTGGATGGTGAGGTGAAAATACACACCATGGCCCCCGCCCATTTAAACAAGACCATGGCCATCCTGCAGTCGTTGCCGAAACCAAAGCCGTATACCGCACCACTCATATTCTCTCTCGTCTCCATCAGACGCGCTCGACTCCTCTCGGTGAGGTGAGCCACGCCTTTGGCCTTGCACCGTGGTATTATGGCCATGCGCCGTGGCCCCACCAAGCTGGACACACGAGAGAATCCCTTTACACAGGCGGGCGGCAGGGACGGTGGACGTTCCGTTCGAACGGCGCGCAAGTCTCCGCGCGTCGAAACGTGCGGTTTACTGGCAGGGTTCGGTGTTTTGAGGGGGGTAAAGGGGTGTGGTGGGGTACCACAGCGTCGGTGAATGCTTGGTGAGTGGTAGAAAGAAGGCCGTCCCTGGAACAGTCGGTGCAGTTAATGATAGTCATTGTGTTGAGTTGAGTTGGTCCGAAACTTCCGTTTTGGAGATTTCGGTTTTGGAGATTGCATCATGGATCATTCGATGCTTTTTGGTAGTGTTTGCATCATTCGAGCTGAGGTTTCTGATCGTTTTTTGAGGTCTTTGCATGTCTTTGCTATATACCTTGCCATGAAAAAGTATTTCATAGGTGGCAGTACTGTACTGAAATAACTTTTTCAAAATAATTTACACATGGACATTATTTCAAACAGGGAGTGGTGGTGGGGATCAAACTAATTTTCACGTCGAGAGTCAAAGTACCCAAAAATAATTAGGGAATTATTGCAACATAATTTTGAGTCTCAGATTTGGAGAAGGGTGCAGTTTTTGATATTTTGTGCTTCTGCGTCAGATTTTATTTGGGTGGTGGAGCAAGCAGTCAACCACCTGCAGGAGATTTTCCCAGTAATTCAGTTCATCACTTAGAAGGATGGCCTTGTGATAGGCGCCATGAAATGGAGTCTGGCACGCCATGGTTTCACGTGGGCCGCTAATGAGAAAGCAGAAAGACAGCAGATGACAGCAGAAAAAGAACTTTGCAAATTACTTTGCTAGTGGTTGAGTGTGGAATGACTTGCTCTTGACGCTTTCATTTTCCAGGTTGTATGATGTTAGCAAGATCCTTGAAAATCAAGGAATATTATTTTAGGCAGTCCGGACTTTCAGAAATACATAATAGGTGGGTGTACCCATCTCAAAATAATTCTTAAACTATTTGGGTGGGTGGTGGACGGTACCACCCAACTATGGTAAGGTATATTCTTTGCTCAACTCTTGACACCGAGCGAACCAAAAGCCCGACCGTGACCGAGCTTCGAGGTCACGCACTATCGCTTGAGGGCGGTATCGATGAGTCGGAAACTCTTCAGTGGTTTCCTCCTCCTGTACCGTTTCCTGGGCTTGGGCGGAAGGAATGGCGATGTTTGTTATGTTCCCTTTAGTTAAATCCCCTTCTGAGGAATAGGTTTTTTGTTGTCCTAATGTAGCTTAAATTTGTATAGCGTAATATATGTTATTGTGAAATCCCCTTCTGAGGAATATGTGTTACTTCTTTTTCCAGGTTCCTAAGAAGCAAATCCAAGGTTTACTGGCAGCCACGCTCTTGGTCATTGTGGGGACCACATTCTTGGTCTACACGGTGAATGTGACCGAGTTAATTCTCAATGCTGTGGCTCTGGGCATCATCTTGGATATCGATGATTTACTCTTCGATGCCTTGGCTACAACACCAGGTCGACATTTGGTTCATCAACTGGACCCTTTGCACATGCCATCCATGCCTCGAGTGAGGGGTGCTGATGCCAAATCAGTCTTCATGAGTGTCTTCATTCCTGGGCTCACCATCTTGGTGTACTACTTCATGCTCGAGCCCTTTGTTGGAACCTTGACCCAGGTCAAGAGCGCCATGTGCGGTGGAAATCAGAACTTCGTGTGGAGCACGGACAAACGCAGGATCACCCACTTGTCACCGACCTTCGGTGGTGGCTGGGAAGAGGAAGAGGACAGCATCAAGAAGCTTGGGCAAGAGATGGCGATGGCAGAGCCATTTAACCTCTGACTCATTAACATGGAAGTGGACCCTTGCCCTTGGCAAGCTGATGTTCCTCTACACATGCTTTATTGTGTGCCTTCCACTTCCATCTTAGTGAGAAGGAGTTTAGCCTTTTGCCTTTGAAACCAGACGAGATAAAATATAAGCTGTTTAATTATACATCCATGCTTTAGTTTAAGATTTACTATGCGCATTAAGAACTAGAATCCGACGACATAGATAATATATCAATACTAGTACAGTACTGTTCTCCAAAGTATCAATAGGTGTTTCTATCAAAAACGTTGCTTGTGGATCAACCGCAATCTGAAGTTCTGAAGCCTCACACGTGCTGCGTGGGCAGCCAGCATCGCTCGGTGTAACTCAGGACGGATGCCATTGTCGAGGGTGAGACCATTGGAGACTTGACGGTTCCGAGACCATGCGTAATACTCTTGGGCCCTGAAGTCCATCGTTTTGGTGAATCAATAAAGGACATTTCCTAATGATCCTTAACTTCTAACCAAAAAAAACAAATAAATTCGTACCTTACAGGTTAAACCGCGACCTTTTTTTCCGGGCAAAAAAGACGAACGCAAAAGAAGCACGTCAAAACACTTCAAAAAGAAACGCCCTCCGATGCCCTCCGCATCCAGCCTACTCAGGATACGGCTTGTCCATGAATGAAACCCGCTTTGGTGTCTGGGTGAGTGATGTGACGGTGCTCAGCGACTTGGAGGCCGCAGACCTGGATGATTTGATCGAAGAAGGAAACGTCGCTTGTGGAGATCTGGGAAATCAAGAGCCCTTGTTGAACTATTTGAGACGCTTGGCGAATCCGGAAGGGAGGAGGGTAGGAGGATGTAGGAGGGTAGGAGGATGTAGGAGGGAAGGGAGGGAAGCTGGAGAGATGATATGCATGATAAATGTTTGAGATGATGAGCCAGACGTGGAGGCTTTGACGTGTACACCGTGTTACCTAAAAAGACACGCCAAAAACACGTGTGCATGTCAAACAATGTAAAACTTTTTTGCGTGCACGCCATGAATGAAACTGCAACGTTGAAGGTAAAGGCTTTGCATCTTTCAGGATACATGCTGGGCAACGAGAGCATTCAGTCGTGCGCGGATGCCACCATGCACTGCAGCTCTATCACCAAGATGCCCGAGTTTGCCCTGGATGGTGGTCACGTGGCAAAGCACCCATAGAGTTTTCACCAGGCACCCGCCGCCATGTCAACGGCACATTCGTTCTTCACCACCCTACGCGTGTCTGCACTGTTTCTTTTGTGTTGACCCATTTTTGCGGGGCATGTCATTGGAAAGAAACCTAAGATCTTTGGGGTCAGCTTCAACCTCCTTAAACCTCCAAACAGCTGCAGCTTGAACGGTTGGAGCTCGGCCTGTCTCCCCCAGTCAGCTCGCGCCAGAAACGAGACCCCATCATGACCGCCGGTCCAATGTGGACGGCCTGAGGAGTCGGATGGTCCACGCGGATGTTGTGCTCTGAAAGCTGCGGCTGCCAGAACCCCGGAGGAGACTTCATCAACGTACCTCGACCGGCTTTGTCGACGGAGAAGGGTGGGGTAGGGCTCGAAGTGTGGTGTCGATCAACCGATGCGACGCCACCGAATTTTGTCCTGCTTTTAGAATCAGATGTCTCTTTGGAAAAAAGACCCGATGAAACCGATGTGAACGCAATGTGACACCCGAAAGCCCTGCCCTTCTTTTCTTACTTGACCGATTCCACTGCCTTCGCCGTTTAGTTTTCCTTGTGCCAAGGTCCAAGGTTGTCCCTACAACGACGGAGAGTGCAAAGCCTCGGTTCCCTTTCAGGAACACAAAGAAAGCTCCTCGGCTTCCACCGTTCAGGACCGGTTCGTGACGACCGTTTCGGGACGCCTGCCGTTTCGGAGGACGAGGAGAACGGTTTGGGACGGTGCGACGCGAATCCGGGCGGAGGGGAGGGGTCGAAGTTGAGGGGTCGAAGCCTCTCACTGCTGGTGTTTTGGCATCGCTGGTGTTTTGGGCGTTGTGGAAGGGGATGAAGATGTTTGGCAGAAGTCGTCCGCAGGCTCGTCGCAGGTGACTTCTGCAGAAACACTGCGAAAAGGGCGGATGCTGCGGAGATCAAAGTGTTGGTAACTAGTTTGGTTTTGACCCTGCACTGATCCCGGATCACGAAGCTTTGTCTATCAATATCATGCCGCGGGATTCGAAGAAACAGTCAACTCAAAATTACTAAAGGAACGTGAGATCGAATTGCAATAGACATATTGATACATATTGTATATACATTTGTAGACCATGACTATGCCCTACTCCCTGCTACACGTGCAATTCGTAGACATGTTCCAAAAGGTGCCTGCCGGCTTCGGGGCTTCGCTGCGATGCGCCTGCGATACGCCTCGCCGGCTCGCCTCAGGTGGTTTGTGCTTGGACCGAAATGCCTCCACGCTCCGAGAGTTGGGATCTTGGAAAGAGTGGATCAAGACTATCCGATCCTATGGCGAATCGGCCTCGGATCTCTTAAGTGGAAAGTCTGATGCCCTCCTCTTGGCACAGGCCATGGAGGACAATGGCTGTGGCTTTTTGTCCAACCTGAGTGCGCAGAACATCTCCTTGGGCGGATGCTTCAGTTGGGACAACAAATTCACTTGGGAGTTCAAGACGCTTGAGTTCTTTTGCCCCATCACATGTGGATGTTCAAGCGACAACTCCCAGCGCTCTGGCTGTCCAGAACCCTTTGGCAAAAGCTGCGATCAGCTCAGTAGGTCACGATGTCTCACCTGGAACGATCAGCATTTTTGTCCAGGCTTCAATACAGAGATCATCTATGCGCTGATGATGTATGACTACTCTTCACCGGACGTGATGCATTTTGCAAGAACTTCAGTCAGCTGTGTGTTCCTTAATTTGATACATGTTTACGGCCTTGTTGTACCCATTGAAGTCAAGAGAAAAGTAACAAAAACGTGGAATCATGACAACCAACAAGCTCCCCCAGGATGGTTAGGCCATGTTTGGTATGGTGTTTTTCGATGTTTTTCGTGTAGATCAAAAAGCTTCCGAAAGGAATGCCAACAAAGAAGCCGCTCGTTTGGCCTTCCGTGAAGCCTTTGCTCAATATGCCGGTCACACCGAAGCCATCGATGTGAACACCGTGACCGTGGACTCTTGGGCCTGCAACATTTGACCGACACCGTGTTGAAATGGTTCGAAAGGATCAACAGACATCGATGGCCATGTGGAGGTAGATGGTGACATCAATGCTTTATTAGAGTCTATGAGACTTAGAGTCGGTGACATGGTAGACGTCGAATCCTTGGTACCGAACACGGAGGGAGCAGACGAGACTCCAGTTCTGCCGAAAACAGCCGACTTGACTCTTTGTTTGTGACCGTCCTTTTTAGACTAATTAGAAGAGTTTGTGACCTCAACTCTGGGATCTCACGTTCGGTCAGTAAAAGAGGTCCTGGAAGAAACTCTTTTCACACGGCCATGATCACTCTGATGTCCAAAGCTGATGCGGGTTCAGTGTACGATATTGGTTTCATAATATATATATATATATATATGGTTCATATCGTTTCTATGCCGCATCCAAGCTAATCCCTTACAGCCATTTTCACAGCACGTTCCCTGTTAAACAAGTTTCCACTTGAGCCTGTGTACAGTTGAATATGCACTCTAAGAAACATGACAGTGGAACTGGACCTGGTAAAACAACAAACAATAGACTAATTATCTCCCTTTTGAAGCAGAGGAGATGGAAGTGACATGTCGACTTTTCAGCAAGCCCAGGACTTAGGCTGGCTTGGCTTTGTCTATGCCAGAGTTTATCTCACCGACTTGGCAACGATGAATTCCACCGAAATGACTGCGTCCCTTTACTCAACTCCACTGGAAGATTATCAGGCGAGATGGTATGGGTAAGTGGCAAGTGATTGCGGGGTTTGACATGGGGGTAAATCTCATTAAATCTCTGTGAGATACATATGGGCTTTGCAAGATGTTTATAACATGTTGATCCCAAGCTGACTCTGGGCTTGTTCACGTAAACGCTCTATGATTTGTCAATGGACATGTACATGGTGATTCAGACTTTTGTCATCTTTTGTCATACTTTTTGTTTAATGATTCCTCGCATGATGTTCCCTATTTGCAACCCAGCAAGATCATTACTATTCCACAAGAGCACTTCCAAATCCATAATATCATCCATATATTTCTTTGTCCATAACAACGTTCCTGGAATCCAACGAACTGCCCCACCGTTCTGTCCGAACACCCAGGCATGACGCGGTTTTCGTCGTTTCGTCGCTTGGGCGTAGGCGGCGGTCGACGCAAGTTTGCTCTCCTCGGGAGTGACGCTGAGTGATCTTGCACTCACACTCAGCTTTGCTGGAAGCTTGGCAGAAATTGTTGGGATGAGATGGAGGTCTCGTTTTTTCAGGTTGATCAGACGTGTATTGAATAAATCTAAAGATAAATCATGTTGAATCTGTTTGCGATTGGCACTTGGTGGATGACTGGGGTCACATTCTGCTTGTTTCCCCATCACCAAAATTGGGATCCCCCAAAAGCATCCGTGAAGTCTTCCAAAACGGTCTCCAACCGATGAGGACTCGAGGACTCACTCAGACTCGGATGTTCTTCCAGTCCGGAACCCGACCCATCACCCCTCACCCCAACCGGGTTTTCCTCCGGGTTTCCCCAGGCGATCCCAAGGGTCCCTACGGCGGCTACGGCTACGGCTACTCCGACTATGCGGCATAAGACGAGCGGAACGGAGCCACAGCCAGGCCAGCGGCCCCCGGATCTCCGCGGCCACAGCCATTCGCGACGCAGATGGACGTGTGGCGTGGAGGGAGACGCGTTCCTCGGCCGCCGACCGGGACCCCGCATCCGTCCAACGTCGGTTGGGGAAAGGCGCCGATCCGGGCGCCGTGTCGGTGGAACCCTAGAGCCATGGAGGTCATCATGGTCCGAGCTGAGTCCGAGTATATAGTTCTTCGAATCGATTTTGCTGTTAACTATGGAGACTCAATAACTGTTTGTTTACAGACTGTGAATCGAAATTGAGTGTTTTGAATGGAGAACCCTTCAGCTAGACCGGACCCCTTTTCTTGCTAGAGGACAAGTCACAGACTGTCAAATAGACTCCAACCTGGGTTTAGGGTGTCTCGATATTCACACCTTCGGTCGAAGTGACCTGCCAAGCCAGGTGTCGCGCTGAAAGCCAGCGGCCAGGCCATGTCGTCACACGACTGTGGCGGATGGATTGGTCGATCGAGAGACCGGAGATAGAGAGTGCAACGTGACCCTTTGTCTCCTGAGTCACCTTTGTCTCCATTTAATTCTTTTTTAATGCATAGAGTCTAGAGCGCCGGAGAACATGGGGTTCTACTCCAATCTCCAAGAGATTGAGGGTTGAACTTGGACTTGGCAAATTGCAGTTTCGATGGGAGAACCAAAACAGCACCATTGAAGATAAAAACCTTACAAGCACAGGCAGATATTATACCTTGAAGTTTTGCCGGATTGCTGATTGGGAGACAGAGCATCGCAATTTGCCTGGTAGTTAACTTTAGGCGAACACCCCACGGTGACTGGCCAGCATGCAGCCTTGTCTTTAAGCCTTGGCTTTCGCCGGCAACTGTGCACGAGGGGTGCATCCCAGGAAGAAGTGGCATGGAACGTTGTGTTCATGATTTGACGACAAGAACAACAACAAATCTGCAATGATGGTTGACGATGTTTGATATTGTTTGATGATGATTTTGTGTGTCATATCCGAAGAGAGTGATTTGATTTGATCTGAATCAGCCATCATGGCTTCTGGGTTGTACCGCTCTTGCGCTTTTCCTCCGCGGGACACGAAAATTGGGTACCACATTTTGATATCCGGCCGCGCTCCAGCTTTGTGCGAATGTCTTGAAGTGCAAAGCACTGGGCCAGCATAGCTGAGAAGAAGAAGCCTTGTGCGAGGACCGCAGGAACATCTGTTGCGCTCAACCACGTGCAAGTTGGGAAAGTGGAGCAGTTCCTTCCAACCAGATCTGCAAACCCACCAAGCAAGATCCCGCCAGCCAGATATCCACACTTGCAGTGTGAAACGCACCCCCCGCTCATGTCAGGCTCCACGAGGCTGGGAACGGAGAGGAGAGAGAACCAAAGCTTTTGTCCCGAAACAATGCCACTTCCCAGACGTCGTAGTTTTGTCTTGCGCGAGTTCATAGCATAGTTCAGCATAGTTCACGGGTGAGAGAATTCAGAGATAGTGATTGAACACACCCTTGAGCGTGGATGTGGAAGCATAATGCAAAAGTGCCTTTGAATTGAAAAAGACACAAAACCCTATATCAGTATCATTTGGTCTGGATTCTGGATTCTGAAACAAAAATCTCAACGTTGACCTGATTTGCTGTGGGAAAAAAAGAGCTTCTTCTTCTCTTCCTTCGCGCACACCGCGAAAAAAAGCGGGGCACTTCGTCGATGTGATCCATGAGTCCTTTCTTTCGGTCGACCGAATGGGTCAACCGATTCTGTGTCGTCTCGGTATGTCGCTTCTCTCGTCTCGGTGTGTTACCCGGATTACTCGGTTTGTAAAAGGAACCTAATAGCGATGGCCTCCAACACAATAGCGATGGCCTCCAACCTACTAGCGATGGCCTCCCTTTTGTTGTTTTTTTCTGCCGAGCTGATCTTTTGTTGGAGCTGCTTTTGCCAGGTCTCAATATGGACGGCCGTCCGATCCTTTCTGCACCGTCCGACGCTCCACAGAAAAAGATCACCGCGGTCCGCGGACCTCCGCGGAGCGGACGTCGACGATGTGTGACGTTGAACGGGGGGTTTGGGCCACGCGAATCATTCTAAGACATGTCTAAAGGACCGACTTCGCATTGGATCCCACTTTTTCGGGTCAGACGAGTGCTATGACACCATGGACCACGACATCGGCGGACCATGGGCAGACCAGTGAGGGAGTAGGCGATGTGACCATGGCCCATGTGTGCTTGAAACAACCACAGCAGCTGGTGCAGCTGAGCAAGGGAAAGAGGCCGAAGATGATTAGAGGGCGATCCACAGATTTCTAGTCTACGGGGCGATATGACATAGACACAAAACGAATGTTGATTTCTCAGCTGTGGGTCGATACTGGTGTCACTCAAGCATAGAACTGCATTGACATGACCTGTATGAAGAGGAAGTGCAAGTAATTTTTGACTACTGTAAGAGAATTTGCCGATCCTAGCCAGCATGTCGTACTTTGGATTCTATTCTGGCTCAAGTAGAGGGTGGTAGGAGCTTGTGGAGAATGATTGTGTAGATCCTTTTTTCCAAGCGTTGTTGTCACCCAAAGTGGAGGGTTTGCAGGGTAGCTGTAGGGTCTCAACTTCTCACTTCAGGGTCAACACCGGCGCCACCGGCGGCGCGTTGGCCTGGGCCAGGCGGGGGGGGCGTAACGCAAAGAAGCACCATATGGGTTCACCCGACTCAGGTGCCAGCTCAGGTTGGCGTTGATCGCGTCACCCGAACATGGCATATTATATCTAGATGCAATATAGAGCAATATAGAGCAACACTGGCATCATGATTCGTGTTTTGTTTTGGATATGTGTTTTTGGCCATGAAAAAGCAGGCTGTTTGGGGTCCCAGCTTCGGCCCGTCACCGGTCGCGGTGGAGTCGTTTTCTCACCATCCGATCGGAGGGAGGACGCCTTTCGAGACGTCGAGGACTGTCTGCAGGTGAGTGCGGATGTCTGCCCAAGGACTACCAGCACATATTCTGGCACTCTTCACTCCCAGGCTGGAAGCGGTATCCTATGCCAGTTCACCGATCCGAGTTCACTGTTCGCTCCACCTTCTTCCGACCGAGACTCACAGGGAAAGAACATGAAATCACATGGATCGAGAGGACCAATGGCACAGACCCCAATGTCGGTGGTTTAGATGATGTTTGTTGCATCTAACGAACATCTTGAGGTCTGTGCCATCGAGCCTTTGAAACCACTGTTGCACCACACAGTGCCACCGTGGGTCCGGTGCTTGGCCAGGCCGCCACCGCAGCACTTACCCCCCTGCGTGCTGAAGCCGGGCGTGTCGATCTCGGGTTGCGCCGAGCGGCTTGGAGAGAAGGTCAGCGGAGAGGAGGAGGGGGACGGAAGCTGAACACCTATAGCAGCAATGGCCTCCCCCAGCGATGGCCTCCAACCGACTAATTAGCCATGGCCTCCCCCTGGAGCGGGTGATGGCCTCCAACCTATCTCCTTACAGTAATTCTCCTGGGAAGAGATCCACCATGGAACCAGACCGTCATGGATCTTTTCAGACGATTTTCCTCTACAACCCGACGTGGTGCCATCAGGTTCGGCTCTGGAAGAGGGTGGCTCAGGTCGATTGGTGAAAGGCCGTGAAGATCGTCGGGGGCCGTTTCATGTTCCAAGCAGCGTGTATATCCCTGGCCGCCGTCATCCCAAAACCTAAAAATCCAAATAGATCAGTTCCATGGAGCTAGAGCACGCGAGAGTCGGAGCTTGTTGGGGGTACCCCTTATCCACATCCATGGTCCCGATTGCGTGGGACGAGCCCAAAACCACCCAGAGCTCCATATACGTGACTCCTCAGAGGTGGGGGAGGTGGTTCCGTTTCAGAAACCCTTCTTCCGTCGCCGGACGGACCCATGTGGAGGAATTCCATCGTTTTTTACACAAAACAGGAGTTTGTTTGAGTTTGTTTTGTGGATTTTTGTTTGTTTGAGTTTGTTTTTGAGGAATTCAATCGTTTTGGAGTTTCAGCTTCATTTTTTCAGGCGTCCAGAGTTTATTTTTAGCGTCCAGGGCCCAGGGGTGGAAATTTCCGGAAGGTCCTGGAGCGATGTTGACTAGCCGACTAGCCTATCCGAACAACCGGGGGAACTTTGAATCATTCTCATCAAGATTCAACTGCTTTATGCAACTGCTTGGACCGCGTGTCATCAACCAGTAGTAGTTATACTGTATACCTTTTGTTGTTCACGTCCAAAAGAATGTGAGATTTGGTCATCACCATGTTTTCAGGTACAGCTGATGGTACAAACTGATTGTATACATCTTAAATGAGGCATTTCGGAGTCTCAACTGTCAGCCAAGAAGACTGAAGGGTACAAAGAATGCTTGTGTAGATTGCTGGCCAAGTGCTTAAGTATTATGTCTTGACAAACAGTCTGACCATGTCAAACCTGATTGTTTAATTGTGTGTGTTCCTCTTGCATAGATACGGATGAAACAAGGCAGGGGCTCACCGGAATCGAGGAAATACACCATAAAACCAAGCATGTGTTAATACGATATATAATACTTGTAAGGCAAAATTGTAGCTCACGAGCGCCTCACAACGCCATCTCACAAAGAACAACAACGGCCCACTGACCTTGGGAGGCTCCGAGGTGGGTGTGTTGCGCTTCATTCTGGGTTGACTAAGCAACAAATAGTCTGGACGTCCACATCACATCAGAATGAGTGGTCACATCACCTCATTCTGGCGCATCGGACCTTCACATGATCAGTTCTGGCGCTTCGTTGTCCGTCAGCCGGACCTCGACCTCGACCTCGAGGTACCGAGCTGCCAGACTCGGCCTCGGTGGTTTGGAGATCTGGCAAAAATCATGGTCATCTATAGAATGATCTATTGCAGATCTATTCACAACCAGATAGATTCATTCACAACCAGATCTACTCCACTATAGAATGACCATGGTCATCTACGGACTTTCTTCTGTAACTCTTGGGTATCGGTATATAGTATACTTAGTGTGAGAACAACTACCTACTTTCCGTTGGAACTTCGTTGGAACTTCCCATGGATTCCGTTTTCGTTTGCAGAAGCGCCAAAAAGCACTCAGACCAACCTGTGCACCGCGTCCGGTTGACCTTTTTTTTGCAGGCTTAGTTGGCGCCAGAACCGAGGCCGGCGTTCGGGGAAGATCAGACCCAAAAAATGGAGATGACCCCTCTATTTAAGTGTATATCCAACATATACAGGTAATATGGCTGTGAGTCATGGTGCCCAATCACTCCGGTAGGTTGAGCTTCTTCGTAGTCCAATCGTTTCATTGGAACGCTGGTTTTCAGCACGGCTGGTCCTCCCGGTGGTGCCATGCCCTACGGCACCGACCGACCGCCCCCGAAATACATCTTCCCTGTCGTACGTACGGAGATCATTGCTCCCACCAGGTATGTGGAATTCTTCTCCTCTGCCGCTGGGCGGTGCAAACCGGGCGAAACCACATAAACCACATGAGGGGTGGAGAAACGCGTGGCGTGTGGCAGCTGGCAGACGGGTGTTTCTTGGGAGGAGAACGGTCGTCCTCCATATGCAACGTAGTGTGGAATATTGTGGATGTAACTTTAACATACTATTATGTAACATAGTAAGATGTGCTTAGCTAACTCAAATGTATAGTGGGGAGGACTACGTGTTTTTCTCTGGCGGGTAGTGATTGTGGATAACCGGATGATGGTTACATTTGGGAGACCTCTGCAAAGTTCCTGGGAGATGGTCAGGGGAGCAAGCGGCTGGGTATACTCAGAGGGCAAGTCTTTTGGATGATGGAGGTGGCAAGAAGTACATTTCCAGATATCAAATGGTCCTTCCAAAGGCATGATTGGATGCAAGATTAAGCACGTTTGCATCATTTGGCTTGAGACTCTGCGGCCCAAAGTCCTTGAACTGGTACCCAAAAACAGAAACAAACACATCTTTGGATGTCGTGATTTTTGGATGGGCCTAGAACTCCATTGTTGAAGCAGAACACAACCTGACCATAACTTTATATAGCCCAACCAAACAAATAATTTGACGCATCCAACAAGAATCGACTCGAAAGGACTACCCTTTTTGGGACGGGACAGTCACCGGTCACCCCTTCCGGCTCAGGATCCGCCGCCGGTCCGAGAGCCTTGGGAGTCTCCCCTGGAGCGGAAGGCTCGAAGACACCGGGAGAAGGCTGGGAGACGGTGCGAGAGCGGTGCCGGAGCGGTGCCGCGGCGGGCGGAAGACGCGTTGATCGGACCAAATGCGGTGATGATGGGTTTTTGGGATCCTTGTTTTTGTTTGTTGGATGTTTTGGAAGATTTAGAAGCTTATATGCTTTGGATCTTGCGATATTTGCCCTTTTCTTTCAGGTGTCGATGGAACTTCCAGCTACAGTTTCGCTCAGGTACTTCTATATTGGTGCATGGCTTAAAATTGAAGCCATTTTCCTTGGCATCGGGTTGTGATAGGACGCCCCTTCTGCGACGGATGGGGGCGCAGGTGCAGGCACACAAGTCGGCGCAGAAGAAGTTCATCGACTCCTACGACCCTCACAAGGACTTCGCAGTGACGGTGGACCGGTGTCACGGTGACCGGGCCAAACCATGAAAGCGGTGTTGTCTCGTCGGTTTGAGTGGTAGACCCATGTAGATCCTTCCAATATTATACCGAAGCGGTGTTGCCTTGGATGCTTTCATAAAGTGATAAACTGATAAACCCATGTGTGTGTGATAGTTACTTTTTCGTTCAGGTCGTCAGTTTCTGGCTGTTTTGCACTTCGCTGCGGTTCCTGAGCAAGATAATTAGTAGTCTAAGGTTCCCTTGAACTGGAATACATGCACCAATGGACCTTGGAAATCATGATATGAATCAGCCATGGACCATGAGACTGGATCCATAAGTACTCCCTTGGTGCCCCTTTCCAAGACTCCTAGCAATTCTTGACTGCTGCTCAACATTCGTGATCAACATTCCGCTGGTCCAGGTCATTTTGGGCCCATCCTCCCAAAGCAGGTGTCCAGATTTGCTATTAAGATTTGATTTGGTTTAATCTGTTTTGATTTCATTTGACTTAGATTGCATTTGATGTTGATGTCATTTCATTTGACCCACCTGGACAGATCAATACAGAGCAATGCCGTCGCCAAAAATGTCAAGACACCCCCGAAAGGAACAAGCGCGCAGTCAACGCACGGTCCGTTTTCTTTCCCACGAACTCTTCCATCAGATAAAAAAAAGTAAAAACTCTATATGACCTCTCCTTTGAAACTCTCCCGCTCGTGGGTCCCAAAAGGAAGAACGATCATGAAAGATCCAAGAACCAACACTGGGTCCCAAAAGTTGTGGCTTTGGAGGAGCAACTTCGGTAAGAGCTCCAGGATCCCGCCCTTGGCACCATGAACCGCCCGTGTCCAGGATCCCAATGCCAGTGGAGATCCCTTCAAGACCCTCTTCGTCGGCCGAATCAGCTCCTCGGGACGCAGAACCGACCGCGCCGTCCGACCGCAAGGCGACCGGTGACCGGCCGAGGTTACGACACCACGGAGAAGAAGCTGAAGCGCGAGTTCGAGGTCTTTGGAAGCATCAAGAAGGTGGGAACCCGAGCTCAGGGGTTCCACGGAATGAATTTTGTGTGTGTTGGAATGGTGGCAAAAGGTGTTGTGCTCTTTGGATCCTGGTTTGAACAGGTGGTTCGGGTTTTGGTGCTTTGGATTCGGGTTTTGGTGTTTGGATTGTTATTTTATCCAGGAAACATCTAACGGATTGTATGTGTACGAGCGTTGAGATCCTCGGCACCGCAGGTGCGCATGGTCTATGACCAGAAGGGGAAGCCCAGAGGTGCCCGGGAGTCGGGCGGGATCCGCGGGAATTTGCAGTGACACCCAATCTGACCCAGTTGTTTGGACCTGCTAAACTGCCAAACCTCATGTGCAAAACCAGTTGCTTGAACCATCAACTCCTGCTAAACTGCCAAAGCTGATGTGCGAAACCAGTTCGTTTTCATCGACTCCAGTGTTCACCGAGGTTCGTTCCGACTTGGGGGGGGGAGGAATCGGAGGATGGGGAGGACATGGGGTGGATCCTCATGCCGGACTCATGCCTTGGATGCCCCATGTGAGCACCTCATGTGAGGAATTACGATATGGCGTAAAAGGCGTTGACTCCAAAGGCTGGGTGAGCTACACTTGTTTGGAAACGAGGCAGCTTTCTCCAAGAGCATGATGAAGACGTTTGGACTTCGGACATGTTTTAACCATAGTTTTTAGGGATTTTAGGGTTTTGGAGCTTCAAGATGCTCAAACTTGATCAATTACAACATTCCCCAAATTCCCAACTCAGAGTCTCCTCAGAATCTTCGACCTGTTCGAATCGACGTCTTCTTCGTGAGGTTATGCTTTCATCGAGTTTGACCATGAACGGGACCTGAAGAATTCCTACAAGCAGGGCGATGGAAAGAAGATCGATGGCAACTCGTCGTTCCTCCTTTTCTCTTCCTTCCGCTCGTCGAATCGGAGCCCGTAGTAACGAGCGGTCACAGACGCGAAGTCGAACGGGTTCTGAAACAATCCAACGAAGCGTCCCAGGACCCTCTGGAAACCAAAGGATTAAATACCTTAGGCAGCCTAGGCAAGTGTTTTTACTGGACACGAGGAACAATTTGTTGCATGATCTGTGACTGTGTGTGCCCGCATTTCTGAAAGCATCCTTTCACCCATGTTCTTATAGCGGCGTCCAAGGACTCCTTAGTAATAAGGGAATATCATTTCGGAATATCTTGTATGGACCAGCACCACCCGAAGGATGGTTTATAGACCCCGTGACCACCTATGTTTCATCTACTGTAATTAATAACAACACTTTGGGTGGTGGGTAGAACTTAGAAATTGGCAAACAAAACACAACTTCTTAAACACCTTTGTTTCTTCTTCAACCTGCAAAACGCCAAGGAAGACCACCTGTCGGCCGGCATTGACTCGGCCATGAAACGATCCCACCTGACCCGAGGCCGACGCGTCATGGTGGACGTGGAGCGGGGCCGTACCGTCGAGGGCTGGTTGCCACGCCGCCTGGGCGGCGGCCGCGGACCGGGGCGACAAGGCACCTGCGGCGGTGGGATCAACCCGTGATGCGACCGTTCGAAGACCGTCCAAAGAAGAGAAAATGGTTGGTGAGACCTGGTCTTGTTTCGTTTTTTTTCATGTGAGAAGAGAGGTATGTTAATTCTGTTTGTTTGGGTGTATTTGAATAGGGAGACCGCTGGGCCCATTGGGTCGACGGGTCGTTTTTCCTTCTTCGGGGTCGAACTGAGAGGTCTCCCCATTAAGATACACACCCATAATGGGGAACCTCACGGGGCTGAGGGTGTTTCTTTTTGATGCATGGGTGAAGTATTTTTCAGCTCTGGACAGACAGCTCACCAACCGTGCAAGGCAAGCCTGCCAAGAAGAAGCAGAGGAGCAACCGAGCAAAATAAGATCACTTGCAGTGAATGGGCGGCAGAACAGCAAGCAGAAAAGAAACAAACAGACGTATTGGGCTGGATTTATTTTAATATTTTTTCTAGATATTACACGTAATTTAATACGTATTTATATGTGGTTTTGACATACCTTGTACTGGACTGGCTTTGACTCCATCAAAATCATGGTCTCTCCTTGTTTTGCTCCGTTCCTGCAGCGCAGCAAAAAAGCAGGAGGCTTGCAGAGACGACCGAGAAGCTGAAGGAAAAAGAGAAGGAGGAGAAAGACAAGAAGAAAGACAAAGACAAGGACCTGGGAAGCTTCGGCAGTTATTTATTGAATGACATACTTGGATCAATTTTGATCGACTTGGGCCTTACTCACCCACCCAAGCCCTTTGGGTGGGAGAAGTAAAGCATCATTGTCATCACTGCTCTTGGCATTTGGGATGTTCATGATTTAGTTTAGCCACCCCATCAGAAGGACTTCTTGGTGCGTGTTCTTGTGCCAGGACCGCGAAAAGGACAAGGACGGCTGTGTCGTTGGATAAGGTCAGGTCAACAGGAGGCGACATGTTGGGTCCATAGATGGCTTTATTACTGCTTGATGAATAGCAGAGATACCTCCAAGGGAACAAGGCATATGTTGCCAAATCGACCCTCTATGATTTGCAAGAGGACATCAATCAAGCTCTCACGAGACTGATTGAGCTAAGGCCACGTGATGGATGACATGTGGGTCATATATTGGATCTTGCTGTCATTTGTTGAGTCTGCTAGGAGGAGGACGACAAGAAGGAGAAGAAAGCCAAGGAAAAGGAGCGAGAAAAGGAGAAGGATAAGGAGAGGGAGAAGGACAAGGAGAGGGAGAAGGACAAGGACAAGGAGAGGGAGAAGGACAAGGATAGAGACAAGGACAAAAAGAAGGAGAAAGAGAAGGAGCCGCCAATTTTTGCCTCTGCTGGACATTTTGTCGGCGCTTGTTCTGGGAAAGGCTCCACAAAGAAAGCTGCCTGCACTGAAGCAATTACACCACCCGTGGGCAACCGTAGTGATGCTGAAACCCACTAAGTACCGCCATGACAAGCCATCATTTTTCCATAGCTATGGTCATATAGGTCTAAAGGCGTGCGATATTTGGGCGCATGTGCGTTGTCGTTTGGTACTACTGTATGTCATTTGGGGTCCAACAAACAGCAGGTGTTGATGATGCTTGGAGTAGTTCTTTCCTGTTAAGTATTTTAGTATCACTTGGTGTGAACTGACAACAGTTACTAAGTATATAACTACTACGTTCATGGAGTATTGGTTCAACACAGAAAAAGCTGCCGGGGTCCTACCAGGGTCCGCCACATCGCCACCCCCCCCAGGAGCGCAAGCGCGAACGCTCCCGAAGCCGAGACCGGAGGAAGTGAGGCCGCCGAACGCTCCGGCCGTCCGCCGTTGGCCTGCTCCCTTCAAGACATCACATGAACACAGAAGTTCCCAAGCTGCAACATGGTTACTGTGAAGACTGAAAGCTCTACCAACAGGGGGGGTGAAGTGCACTTCCATGTTAGTGAGTCACAGTGAAGTTCTTTTGGTATAAATGAACGATTCTAGGCTAACACTCCCACATGCAAGGGAGGAGCCATTGTGTGTGGAGTACGAGCCGAGCGCATGTTGCTCGAGCACGGGCACACACGTGCCCGGTGTGTGTAGAGACGGAACGAGCGGAAGCCATGCCCAGAAGGTTTGCCCTAACGATCCATGGGACGGCAAAGATGACCATTAGATGTAGGCCATAATTGTGCAGTGGACCAACGTCCATCAACTAGGGGGACTAGGGCACTAGCTAGTTTATGTTTTCATGCAGTTACTTTCAACAAAATCCATAAAATTGCTCACATGGATTTGTTGGAAATGACTCTAGATGTTTTGTAATCATTCCATACATCCATCTTGGCGCCAAGCCCTTCAGTTTGAAATTGTTTCCCTCTTGTGGGAGCTCCTAAGAAGCCTCTTGCGCCGGAGCTGAGAAATTGTTTTGAGTGATACTTGCTCAGAATCATGTGGATGTTCTTCTCATTTCTTTTCATATCTTCTCATAGGATGGCAGCATTGGGATGCATGGATGGCTTTCGGCGAGTCATTGAGATCATGGCAGAACTTCCGCAAGCAACGTCTACTCTTGCAGAAAACACACGTGTTCTGCTTCGGCATCGAAAACACCGCGTTGCTTCCAATGTGACGACCGGTCGAGGCTCCATCGCTCCAACGATGCTTCAGGCCTGGAGCGATGGAGGAGCTTGTTGGAAGAGTGAAAGTGAAATCATAAGAGTAGACCTCACTAGTGAGGAGCTACCCAATGACATTACAAATGATTCATGGTCCGGTCCGTGACTTATGATGTTTGTACACAGTGCTGTATACACTAGTTAGTATAGTTTTGTGACATATAATATGCACATGTCACATGTTGTACATACAACTATACAGACACATCAAGTAAAACCAATGAGTTGCGGGCGCCACCCGCCGGGCCACCGGGCCAGGCGCCACTGACTTCTTCGTGGCCAGTTGTGGGAGTGCCACCCGATCGCTGGCGTCCGAGGCTATAAAAAAAGGGGCGAATCGGACGGAAAGAAGGGGGAAGTGTGAATTGGAATTGCTTTACAGTGTGACTTCGGGAAGTTGAGGATTTTTGAGTATGCCTAAAGGTATGTCTAAAAGGATGATATCTTCAAAGATCCTCACAAAGGAAGGAAGTTCAGGTGATTTCGGTGGTTCCCAACACTTCCTCGACGTGAAACATCTCGGAACCCGACCGGTCGACCGCGTCGCGTGGGAGAGGTACGGTCGGTAGTTCACGGTGCTTCAACAGAAGCCCAGGATGAATGAAGATAATGTGAGTCGTTCATTGTTCTTCCATGTTCTTCCAATGTCTAAGTATAGGAGCCGATGATTGGGAAAGGACAAGAAGTTGGGAGTTGACTCACCAAAACCAGGTATCTTCAGCAACACAACTTCTTGTGAGGTAATGATTGATGTGTGTAAAGAACAGCTTTCCACTCTTGGTGGGGTTACATCAGTTGCCAGAGACTCGCTGGAAGACCACATTCGACGAAGCCGTGAAGTGAGACCTCCTTCCTTTGAAATCCACAAAGGTCGTCTTTGGTTGGCAGTCCATTATAGGTCCACTATAGGATCCCAAAACGCGCGTGGTAGACCCAAAAAAAGACAGTGTTCAGTCCAACACACCAACTTGCGGACTCGTCTATGTCACGCCCCTAACAGCCCTTCCACTTTGTGGGGTACTCTAGGGTAGATATTCACACAAAGATGGAGATGTACAAGACGTGCACGCGTGAATGTGATCACAAGAGACTGGTGTAATACGCAGTCTATGTCCACGAATGACCACGAACATAGCGGCATGAATGCATCTAATTTAAACAGTGTTTAGTCCAAAAAAGAAACGGTTTTTGTCATAGATCTTCACTTCAAAACCACCTCCCAGTTCGCGAACCCCGGGGATGTCCCTTCGTTGCCGGACCGTGCTGCTACGTCGCCACGGGCGTCCGTCCGTCACCGGTGGCGAAACACCGTATGCCGTGGCTAGCGTGGCTGAGCCGTGAACAGCTGTGGAGAGGTGTCTCTTCAAGCTGATGGTGGAAGCTTATAAGATCTTATAAGTGATAAAGTGAGGGACCACATGGGATGTTGAGATGTGTGGGGAGATGAAGTTCTACCCGATACGGCATCGAAGAGAAGTAGAAAGCATTCAAGGAGCTTCGCCTGCTTCACTGAGAATCTCAAGTTACAGACTTGTGACATAGAAATCCAAGTCATGGTGGGCAAGATTCACACTAGGCTGAATGCAGGAAATTATATGACTCTCCTTTTTGCTTCATCGACCTATCTAGTATTACATGTCAGAATTGTTAGGAACAGTTGTTAGTCATCCCATCATGTAACGGTTTTTATCGACTTCCCCAAACAAGTGGCCTGTCCGGACTCCTTCGTCTACTTCAGCTGACCCTTCACGTGTCAAAACAACAACCGAACCGACCGTGTTCAGTCTGCACACGTGAGCGAAATGGCGATGGCGAGCTGACCGGCGCAGCGGACCGTAACAAGGCTCCGAAAAAGAATTCACCCCAATCGATCTGGTAATAGATGTATAGTGGGTTCATCCTTTTTTTCCAGTCCCTCATATGGATTGTGATTGGAGTCCCTTTAGCTACATCTCCCGACGCTGTTCAAACAACACCGCAGCCCAAAGACAAGAATGCCCGTGTGGGGTGTTCTATGGCTTTGTCTATATATTTATATATTATATATAACTATACTATACGTTACGTGGATCAACAGTGTTGCGTGGTGAACATTGTTTTTTGACCTTCTATATACGAGATTGAACAGTCATTGAAACCGTAAGAAGAAGCACAATCGAACTGATAATTGGAAAAGCCACTTGGGCACCAGAAAGACTTCTAATTCTGTCTCCTATGCTGCCTAACAGGGCTTGAATTCACCCTTGGTTCATCTTCGGAGTACCCCGACATTGTGATATCAAGGTGTTTTTTGTGCCCATTCCACCTGACCTCGGATGTTCCATTGGTTCGCTCTTGGAGATCGCGCTCTTAGGCTGTAATTACAGTATCCGGTGTGTGTTCTTTTCCCACTCCACCTCACTGGCAGGAAGAGCTGGGCGCGAGGTGCTGGGCGTGCAGCCACTTGGATGACTGGCTTCTACGACATCCTCTCCATCCGCAATCGCGCCGTAAAGGAACTCTTCCGGTTGCGCGTGGGGCGCAGGAGAGCCCGAAGCCAAAAAGGGCTTTGCTTGGTCACTTGGATGGCAGCGACAGGAGTTGGGGTGAGAATATGGTTCCAATGCTGCTGAGCCTACAGTTTCCCATATGCATATAAACATTGATTGCCTTGGTTGATCTTGATTACATCTCCGATGACCCCGCGTAATTCCGAAGGGGATCTTCTTTACCCTTACACAAGTTCTTTCGGTCACGGCTGCGAACCTCCCGTATTTGCCATACCAAAAAAACGGCTCGCATGTCTGGCCCACAGGTTCGTGGGCGGCAGCTGGTGCAGTCCATCGGCCAAGTCGTCAAGTTCAAAGAGGCCGAGCGGCGACACCGATCGGAGGCAGTCGAGTGAATGGAGGATGTGTGGACGTGGCGATAGGTGCGGCTGAGCTATCAAAGCGGTGGCAAGATGATGCAGGTGCAGTCCAGCGGATTTGGAGGTGTTTTGAGGCACTGTTCCTCTTTAATGAGTGTGACTTCCAAGAAAGTAAGGTGTGCTGTTTTGGAGGTGTAGATGGTGTAGATGATGTACTGTAGTCGATCCTTTTGTTAAAATTGTCTTCCTCTTTTGAGCCACAGTCGTGTTTTTTTCAGGGATCCGGACTGGATGGTAGGCTTAGGAAGACACTGAGTGATTTGAGTTTCCCAGACCATCCATGTATGGACTAGGGACGAGTTACTTGACATCGTGGTCCTAAATGGTAAAAACATGTAAACACGATTAAACACTACGTATTTGTAAATATTCCACTCCCACAGATGGTTTGTCTCCTTTTTCCTTGGGCCGAGTTTTGTTTCCCGCATATCGACCACCTCAGCTGATGCCATCTTTTTGGACTGCATAGGTCCAGTCTAACCTCTCCGGGAAAAGCAGGTTTTACTCATTGCTTTGCTTCATGAAAAACTAGGTTCCTAGTCTTAAACAAGAGTCCGGTGTCCTCGACCACCTGGTCACCATACCGGTCTCCTGTGCTTGGACCCGTCGGTGGACGACCTCGGTGAGGTCTTCACCTTCGAGCCACGGGAGACCTTTGGGTCTTATCACGCCGCCACTGGGAGAAAGAGACGGGAGTGGCGAAACCACACGCGACCCACACGGAGGCGGCGAAACCTCGCAGTTAAGCCTTCAGGTATAGACGTCTATCACGCTGATTTGGGGTTCCGATCGAAACTTGGTAGGCTCGCTGGTGAATTCCGCCCTGTAGCGAAAGCTCGCCATGTAGACGACACCAGGTGTCGGTCGTGCCCTTGGTGGTGTGACATGCCCCACATACCCCTGCCTCGGTGTGTTTTGGGGTTGGTGGCGAGAAAGATCGAGAAAGGTCCTCACCAGGTCCTCACCAGGTCCTGCCGGGAGGAGTGCAAAGAGGCCACAGACCGAGTATTTGGAGTCCTTTCTGCATTCCACTGTCTCAGGGATGTCCATTCTGCTCCTGTATAGCTGACCACCCGGGTGGGTGGGGGCATGTCCGCAGCAGCTTGGTCCGATTGAAAGTGCCTCCAGTGCCTCCAGAGCATCCGGACTGGAAGATGACACATCTCCTTGAGAAGCCCGCCCCAGAGTGTGGACCCCCTCTTGTGATAGGAAAGGACCAGCATCCAGGCAGTTCCCACGATGTCGCTGGGAGTCCCAGTGGTTTGATGACTAAAACCATAGACCAAACGAATCCCTGGTTCCTTATAGACGTGGTAACTGGGATGCACTGGGATAAGAAAGGAAAGGACCAGTGAAAGGACCATGAAAGACCAGACCATGGGGTCCATGGGTCATGCTTGGTGGTTCAAGGTCGCTCACCAGAGTCTAGTCTATCTCATTCCAGTCGCTTGGGGCTGAACGACCTGACAGAAAACATCCAGTCCTACACACCGGTGAACACCGTGTTTTCTCCACCGACCGGTCTCGACCGCTCCTGTCTCGAATGTTCTGATTGTCTGATCAAAACATGGGCGTCCAACATGTCTAGATTGGCGAAAGCATGCGAAAGCATGCGAAAGCATCAAGAGAGATTTCAGAGTTCAACCAGTTTTCCTTAAACTAGCTTTTGAGAAGAACAGCTAGACCCGCCAGACAAGACGGTCTTTTTCTCAGCAATTTTGTTGTGTTAATTGGAGTTCCACAGCTCAGGAAAAGGTGGTTCGGGTGCAGAAGAACGTCTTGCGCCTTTCTCAGTGCTCCAAATCTGTTTTTGCTTTCATCTTTTTTCCTCGAAGCTTCGTACACTGCATGTACATCCCCTCAGAATCAAACTGAAGATTTGCATATACAGTACTAGAGTCATCATGAGTAATCTAGAGTGTAAATATAGTTATATAGTCTTTGTTCATCTCCCATTCCCATTCACTTCATCGGATGCACTGGGAGCGACACGGCATGACTTTCTCGCTCGCTCTTTGTGTATCCAGTCTAGACTCCTCTCCGGGGGCGGCCCCGCAGGCAGCATGTCCTCTTCGGATGCAAGGAGGAGCATGCCAAGCGATTCGAGGACCAGGACTTCGTCATAGGCGCGGCGGGGAAAGATGGAACAAAGACACGATGGATGGCAGAAGCGATGGCAGAACGGATGTGATGGGAAACTTGCTGACCAGAACCAGCTTACTGTAGAGAGACACAGACGAAGCCAGAGAATCCAGTGAATGAACCAGATCTTTGGGGAACCATGGGGGAACCGATGCATCCAGAAGCACATCCGGACAGCATACACCAGAAATCGCATACATATCCATACCAGGGGATAGAATGACTCCATACCAGGTCCAAAACAAAACTGCTTTTCTTGAGGGGTCTTTGACAGATGCTTTTCTTGAGAACAGATCGGAATCATGAGGACCGTCAGTTTTGGACCACTGGCCGTCATCCCTCTTCATGTCAAC